TTTTGCTTGTCTCTTGTGAGAGATGAGGAGGAGATTGGTTTTGTACTATTGTGTGCATGAAAATTAAAAGAAATACACACAAGAGACTACACAGAGCATCCCTGTTTCACATCAGGCTTCCTCGCTAGAAGTATTGCCATAGGAAAGTGGGGCATATGCTTGGCTAGAAATATCTCAGCAGCTTCCAGGTTTGCCCCCAATGGATCGCTTGCTGAGGATCTTGGCAGACCACTTAATGGTTTCTCCATTGTAACACACTGTGCTAGATTGCTGTATGATTCAAAAATGCATTTTTTGCTGCTTCTTTTATTTCTTATATTGCATTTTATTGCATTACTGTTTGCATCCCATGGAATCCAGATTGAAATACAATATAAGAAATAAAAAAGCAGGAACAATGCAGTTTAAAAACCCAACAAATATTGAATATGGACACGGCACATACCACCTGAATGAAGCTCACAGACTGCTGGTGGTCCACAGCCTACTGTTGGGGACCCCTCCCCCCAGATCTCTCCTACTGAAAGTAAAAATAAGAGACTGATGTCTTTCACCTTCTGCACCACAGTCCTCAGTGAGACAGACCATAGAAGCATCTCACCCGAAGAGAAGCACACCTGAGCCCAGGCCTCGTGCTCCAGGGGGTCCCTAAAGAGGCTGAGGACCCACTTCTCAAAATCAGCTTCTGAGAGTGGTGGAAAACTAAGAGAGCCCCCTCTGCCAGTCTTAGCACTCAGGAAGGTCTGCAGGGAAGGAGGCAGATTGCAAGAGGAAGTATGTCCCAGCCCAGCAGGAAACAGGAAGTTCCGACTGGCTGGACCAAACATCCCCTTGCATGTCCACTCTAGGAAAACAAGGAATGTTGTATTTGACTGCTACCTATGTATCACATCCCACAGAGCAGAACCACGGTGGCTAGCAGCCATCAATAGACATCTCCTCCTCCATGAATATGTCCAATCTTCTTCTGAAGCCGTCCAGGGACTCATCCCCGCTTACCTTTTGCCCCACACTTTCTAGGCCCAGGTCCACACTTTCCTGCTCCACCTACGAGCATTTCACTTCTTTTCCCTCTGCTGCTTTCCCCAGGAAAAAACCCATTCTTTAACAATGACTTGGAACAAACAGCTATTTGAGTTTCTCACGAGTTGCCATTTGCTCTGATTCAGCAGCAAAGAGAGGGTTCTCATGGGGAAAGCACCAGAGCAGCAGCAGAAAGGACTTGGACACAGGGCTTTAAAGATCTACACCTGAAAACATGGCACAAAAGGAAGTCTGGAGGAGCCCCAGGACGGTGGCCGTCACTGCCTCCTGCCATCTCTGCGATACATCAAGGAGTCCTTCCTTCCATCTGTCTTGAATCTTCCAACCTTCGGCTTCATTGCCTGTCAACTGCTACGTAGGAGTAACGGAGACAACGGGAGGTTGTATGCAGGTGAGCTGTGCAGAAGAACACTGGCAAGCATGCTCCAAGCAAGCTGCCAACTAGCTCTGCTGAGGCTCCTTTTATTAGCAGAAGTCAACAATTAGGAAACAGTAGTGAAACCACCCTGAACAGGACGTATTTCCATCTAAGCACATTTCCAGCATTATCCAATACAAATGTCAGCAGGTGTTTCCCTGAAATGTTCCCCCCGATACTTGATTACGTCTGCGTCCCCGGTCATGTTCCAGCCAAGTGTTATGTCTATTAAGCAAATTGTGAGAGGACAAATGGTCAGGGGGAAAACCCTGTTTTCTAGCCAAGAAAGCAAAAGGTCAGGGAAAGCAGGCGCAACGCTCCTTGACATACTGTTGCATGACTGGTGCGAGGTCTGCCTTCGCAAAGCGGAGCGTTCCCTCCACACTGCTGAGCTGGGACAGGAAGGGGCAACCAGGACTTTCACTAAAGGGAAAGCAGGGCAAAAAGCATTTGGGGCTTTGTCATTTAGGGAAAGGAAGGGTCAGGTGGCAGACTTGCCAGAGGCTTATAGAAGTTAGAACGGTATGCCAGTTTGTTTAGATGAAGAACAGAGGAAGAGCCGAGCTGCTGAGTGAGGCCAAAGGCACGAAGAGCGCTGTGTCCTGTTCTCACAGTGGCCAACCAGAGGCCCCAATGAGAAAACCCCACCGCGTCTGAACACAAAAGCAGTTTTCCCACAGCAGTGGAGGTAGAACATAGCCACCGAAGGCATCCATTGGAGAGAAGCAGAATTAAGCACAAAACGATTTTATTTTAATTTTTCTACAAGGCTAGAGAAAGAGGCCTGCTCAAAAAAGGGGGGGAGAGAGAGACAACTTATCATTTGCAAGACGTTTGTGTAACAAAAATCCATCCTGGCGCTGGGTGTGGTGGCTCAGCTCAGCCAAAGAACCTGCGAACAACACAATCGTGTCCTTAAGAGAGAGAACAGAAAAACGCAATCGAACATGATGTGCTGCCTTCTTCCTGCCCGGAGAATTTTCATTACACTGTGAGCTCTCTTATTGAAACCTTTCTCTCTGCTCCTCACCCGTCCCTTTCACAAGTGTGATACTTATCTAATACATGGAGCAGGCGCCGGAAGGGGGGAGTTTGAAAGAAGAAGAAGCAGAAGCCGGGGGGGGGGGGGAGAGGGAGGAAAAACCCCTAACCCAATTTTAATTTCAAGGAAATCTTCCTCTCCTTTCCCCTAGCTAACCCAGCCCCGGTTCAAGATAACAAAACAATGGCTCCGCTGCTTCTCATTCATTTCATGCGTTTCTGAGCATTGTCGGGAAATCATCTGGCTTTCACAGCTTTCCCTGGATGCTGCTACCAGGTCATCACTGCGGAAGGTGCCACATGCGGAGCCGAGCAGAACTTCTGGGAGGACAGAGATTTCCAAAGAAAGGCTAAGTTATAAGAAAAAAGTGCTCCTTTTCCCTTATGGTGTACCCAAGAGTCCTTATGTAGTTTCTCTGTCGGTCGGAGAAAACAACAGAGGCCAACCAGAGAATTTTGAGAAGCAAAGCAGCTAGCAAGCCTGATCTTTACTAAACTGTTGCAACAGGGTCCTCACTCCCCACACGCAGGAGGGAGGAGGAACCCAGAACATTGGTGTGCAAGATCTTTTATAGACTTTTGAAGTTGCCCACCCTGTAGCTCAAGGTAAAGGACCCCTGACAGTTAAGTCCAGTCATGGACAACACTGGGGTTGCGGCGCTCATCTCGCTTTACTGACCGAGGGAGCCAGCATTTGTCCACAGACAGTTTTTCCGGGTCATGTGACCAGCATGACTAAGCCGCTTCTGGCAAACCAGAGCAGTGCACAGAAACGCCGTTTACCTTCCCGCCGGAGTGGTACCTATTTATCTACTTGCACTTTGACGTGCTTTCGAACTGCTAGGTTGGCAGGAGCAGGGACCGAGCAACGGGAGCTCACCCTGTTGCAGGGATTTGAACCGCCGACCTTCCAATCGGCAAGCCCTAAGCTCAGTGGTTTACACCAAAGCGCAACCTGCATCCGCATGTATTGGGGGGTAGCTCAAGGCCACCCCCCAACACATCATACATACATCACTGAAGGGGTGGGTCTACAACAGAAATATATCACAGGAGGTGGTCTATGGCAGAAATCCTGTCTGCCAGGATACCTCATAATGGTCACCAATTTCTTTACCTGGGCAGCCTGGCCGTTCTTTTGTGATAGTAAATAATCAGTTCCTGAATCCAGGTCACAGACTCACCCTATTCATACACAAATATACCCTTAAGACAGGGTTTGTGAGCAAAGAGACAATGAGGAGGTTTTCTCATTTCCTTCCTCCTTGCAGAGAAGCATTTGAGGTCAATTTGGGAGTCATAATGGTTTCAGGACTATTTTCCTGTACTGTTTCAGACATGCGGTTTATGTATTTATGTATGTGTTTGCCTGGTACATTTATGAACATTTATTTTACAACTTAGACCTTACACTGGCAAAACGTCCCGGTCACTGGCGGGTTAAGCAGTGGGCTGAGTTTGGCAGCAGGGCAAGGAGGCTTGGGGAGACCCTCAGTGACCCCCCAATCCCCGGTAAGCTACAAAAATAGGTTTTTGGGTTAGATGCCGGCAAGGGTGTGGAGGGCCAGCCAATATATTGTGCAGAGCGTCACACGCCTACTGGCAGGGCCGGCCCAAGGCATTTTGCCACTCGAGGTGAACAAGGAAATGCTGCCTCCTGTCTGGCATTCAGAGGCTCCACTTCGTTCCCTTTGGCTCTCCAAGGTCAGAGAGCGAGGCTTGTTGAGGGAGGTGGCGCAGGCGCTGAGCCCAGCCAGGCGGGCAGGCAAGGGGTCGTGTGAGATGCCAGGGGTGCCAGGCACTCACTGAGAATTGCGTTTCCGTTGGGAAGACCGAGGCACAGCAGAGGTCAGCATCTTCAAGAAATACGGTTTATTAGCACATGTTTACGCCTGGAAGTCTGCCATGGAGGGGGTGCCCCAAGAGCATCTCCCGTCGCCCCTCCCATAGATTCAGTTTCAGTTTATTACGGTCATAGACCAGGATTTCCCCCATAGATACAGCAAGCTTGGGTCCAAAATAGCAGTAAGTCATGGCTCCCAGTCTCCAAGGGTGGATCTACACATGGGGGCAGGGGGGGGGACACGCTATAAATAAGTCAGAAATTAAATTGTTATAAGAAAAAAACCATATGTAAAAATTGCTTAGAATATATTTTTGCTCTCTGGCGCCATCTAGCATTGAATGTTGATAATGTATTCAAAACGTTTTTTGACTAACGTCCCAGGTTGCAGCCTCTCCAGCCAGCAGCCAAGGAGGTTCTGAGCTCCAGTCCCACAGTGGAGTTTGGGCCTGTCCACCAGCTCGTGGAGGTCTGCCCTTGACCTCCTTCTTCTTCCCAGGACACTCCTCACCCAAAAACCAAGACACTTTGTCCTGTTCCCTTGGACCTCTCCCCAGCCCCTGGGCAAGGCCTGTTTGTGCTGGGGTAGCCATATTTCAAATTTGTTGTTTTTTTTTAATTGGCCAAAATTGTTGAGCTGTTTTTGCAAAATCTCCAAAGAAGAAGAAGAGGAGGAGGAGAAAGAAGTCCAGGAGGAGGAGAAAGAAGTTCTCCTTCTTCTTCTTCTTCTTCTTCTCCTTCTCCTCCTCCTCCTTCTCCTTCTTTTAAGGAACTCTTTTAAGGAAATTTGCCAAAATCTAGACTTCCAACATGGCTTGCCATACGTCTGGATTTTCCTGGACATTTAAGTGATTTCTGCCCAGACACTGCTTCCGACTACCGTATTCTGGCTACGTCCAGGAAATTCCGGACTTATGGCAACCCTGTTTTGTGTAGACCTGAAAACCGCCTTTGATGCGTAGATGCCTGGCTCTTGTTTCATCGTAAGCAGCCCTGGGATTCCTTGTCTGGCACAGTTCTGTAGCTTGCATTTCCCCTCCCTATCCTAAATTTTAGCTAGTTTCTGACATTCAGTCAATTTATTCAGTTTTTTGGGGGGTCTCTCCTCCCCCCAACTTATAGCAATAGGAAAGAGAAGATAGCAAAACAGAAGGCATTGTGCAGTATCAATGCAGACACGAGACATGAACGCAGCATAAATATTGTAGGAAGACTTGTACATATTTGGAAAAGAAAATGCTGCAGTAATTACTGTAGTATGTGTGCCCGACAGAAATGCTCCCCCCCCCTCCCAAAAAAATCCCCATTCTTGCTTTTTCTGGCATTGTGGATCCATCTTCGGAGCCAAGAGCAATCTGTTTTTTTAAATCTCAAGGACTGGATCTCCTCAGAGTGTGTGCATTCTCTAATGGTGTCTTAATATAACCTACTGATAACTCTCTCTCTCAAAAGAAAGGAAAATATGTTTGTAACACTATTTTTGCACAGGGGAGCTAACCAAAATCTTGGGGTGGGGGTGGGTCTCAACTCTGCCCGTTTTATATCCATCATGTTGATTTTAATTTTTTGCATTGCAGAACAATATTGTTAGGCATTTTTGTTTGTTTGTTTTCTTAAAAAAAATAATTAAAGTTTGCCTACTTGGGGGGGGGTGTTAATCTTAATACCCTTGTGAAATATACTCTGAGTCGAGTGTGGATTTCATGCTCTTTGTTCAGCTCATAGTGGTGAGGAGGAATGGAAGTTCCCCCAGAATGTCTGCTTTATATACGTTATTTACACAATGGGCCCCACGTGATTGGCTAATTCCGGGATTCTCCTGTAGGCCAATCAGGTTGCGGATTCACTTCCACCTGGAGCTGCATTGGGTGGCTCCTGTGGGCCAATCATACTGCTGCATTGTTCTAGGACCAATCAGACTGCTGCTTTTTGGATCCTATTGTTCTAGGACCAATCAGACTGCTGCTTTTTGGATCCTATTGTTCTAGGACCAATCAGACTGCTGCTTTTTGGATCCTATTGTTCTAGGACCAATCAGACTGCTGCTTTTTGGATCCTATTCACTCAGTACATAACACCTTGCATTCTTAGCATGAGTGTGCCATATGAATAGAGATCTAATATGATTAAAATGTGTTAAAATACAATCACGAACATATCAAGATACAATATTAAAAGCAGTTTCAAACAACTTATGCATCTTGTAGATACCTGGTGGAGAGGAGCGGAGGGGAGAGTCCCTGAACCATGGGGCATCTTCTCCCCAGAGATGTGGGAAAACATAGTTGTCCTTATTAGGAAAGCGACATGAAAATAAAATAGCCAATATGCCTTTGGCTCCATATTTCACCTCTTTGTTTTGATGGTTCCTGTTGGGGGGCTGCCAACAATAGCAAATTTTCTCCATTTTCATGGTTCCCTTCCCTATCTGAAGTGAGAAACAGTGTTGCACAGTGGTTAGAGTGCTGGACTAGGTCCTGGGAGACCAGGGTTTGAATCCTCCCACCCCCCTTAGTCATGAAGCTCACTGGGTGGTCTTGGGCCAGTTATTTGCTCTCAGCCTAACCTACCTCACAAGGTTATTGTAAGGGTAAAATGAGAAGGGGGAGAACTACGTTTGCCACCTTGACTTCACTGGTGGAAAAGTGGGATATAGTTGCAATTAATAATAATAACAATACGCAAAAAGGGATCTTCTTTGGGATCTTGACTCCTCACCCCCATCAACTGTGGTCTAATTGTGATGTTCTCTGGGACCTCCACCATTTCCACATGCGCTGGGATTCGGACTCGGATGCTGAACCTGAGGGATCCCAGCCTGCACAGGATTCCCCACCTCCAGAACCAGCTGAGCCAGGGCTGGGGCTTGAGCCTGAAGGGTCCTCACCTGTGCTGGATCCTCAGGTGCAGGCATCAGCTGAGTCTGCTCTGGCTCCTGAGGTGATGGAGGACCCATTGCCTGCAGGTGCTCCACTCTCAGCCCCGTCAGAGGAAGCTGAGGTTGCCTCTGGGTCCAGTAACCCTCCAGCCTCTCCTGAGCTGCAGAGGCTCAGGGCAGAGAGGCGGAGGGAACTAAGTTCTCGCAGGAGGAGTGCTTGCCTCCAGGCCAGGAGAGGCGAGTCACCTGTGGACCGGGACCGCCCTATGCCTCGGGGCAGATAAAAGCCGGCCAGCCCCAGTCCCAGGTTGCGGGAGCAACATTGTTGGTTGCTAGTTCCTGCCTGAACCCTGTCCTGCTTTCCTGCCTGAGCTCCTGATCCGCCCTGGCTCCCTGCTTGCAAGCCTGTTCCTTCACCCGACTCCCTGCCCTCACCCAGCTTCAGCTACTATGGACTGCCTCCATGTTGCACCTTTGACCACGGACCGGACTTGGACCTCGCCTCTCGGGTAACTCACGGGACCATCACAGTGCTTGTCTTGCAACGCGGCATCAGAAGAGCGACAACAAAATACTGTTTTGCCCCAAAGAGAGAAATAGCTGCTGCTTTCCCCCCCAGCTCTGCTCAAGATCTCCTGCAGGGAAGATCCTGCCAGGTGTATTTGTCATCCCTGATGACGGAAGCTAAGCCAACATGTCTGGGGTGACTGCCCTGCTCCACGAGAAGGTGAGAAATTGAATTGTAATGACAGTCCAGCCAACAAGCCAGGAAGAGACGGAGGCCCTTTTCTCTGTTTTTCAGAGAATGGTGCTGGCCTGAGGTCAGACGGAGAGTTCATAAGTGTACCAACCAAGCACGTACATAGATCAGCACAGGAAGACCAACATGAAACCATTTTTTATTCCCAAACTGACCAAATGTTTTCTTTGCAAGGTCAAAGGAAAATGAAAAAGCCTCCCCATTGTCTTTTCCTTCACAAATCCTGTCTTAAGGGCACATTTAAGATATGAATAGGGGTGAGCCTGTGACCTGGCTCAGGAACTAAGTATTTGTCATTACAAAAGACTGGCCAGGCTACCCAGGGTATCCAATCAAGTAAGCATTAACAGGTAACTTGCCAGACAGAAGGTAAACAACCCACTCAGATTATAAGGTAAACAAAGCACTCAGATTTCTGCTGTAGACCGCCCTTTCTGTGATGTAGGTATGATGTTTCTGGGGGTGGTCTTGGACTCCAAGGCGGGCAATTTAAAATGTCTATATAAGGGCTTGCACACCATTGTTCTGGGTTCCTCCTCGCTCCTGCGTGTGGTGAGTGAGGGCCCTGTTGCAACAGTTCAATAAAGATCAGGCTTACTAGCTGCTTTGCTTCTCAATATTCTCTGGTTGGCCTCTGTTATTATCTCCTACCAATAGGGAACCCACTTAAGGACTCTATATGAGCTCTTGGATACCCCATAAGGGAAGAAAGGGCAGATTTTTGTTTACAACATGGGTATATTGTGGCTTTCCAGGAGCTCAGAAACCACCACCCTGGGCTTGCAGTCGTAGAATCATCGAGTTGTAGAGTGGGAAAGGACCCCAAAGGTCCTCTAGTCCAGCCCCCTGCGATGCAGGAATCTCAACCAAAGCATTCCTGACTGATGGCCATCCAGCCTCTGCTCAAAAACCTCCAAGGAAGGAGAGGCCACCACCTCCAGAGGAGATTTATACAGCCTGTAGTGGACTTCTGAGTATGGCTGGTCAACTGCCCTTGACTGGACAGGTCACCACTGGTGGTGCAAGGCTCAAGCTGGACTCCGTGGCAGCCTCATCACAGACCTTTCGGTAAACAGCCTGCAGACTGATGGAAACAGTAGCCATAGCCACTGCCGTCATAGAAGAATGTTGTATTAGTGCTTGCACGTTGATAGAATAATAATTCACAATAATAAGATTAGATTGTTGCATTGTATGCTCCTTGGTGCGGGACCTATCCTCTTAAATTTTGCAATGCACTTGCACACTGATGGAATAAATAACAAGAACTTGTTTCTCATAGCACGTTAGCTGTTGCCTCGCAGCATAGTGTTCATTAGTTCTGTTGAGTGGCTGGGGAAACCCAGCCAGATGGGCAGGGTACAAAGATGATGATGATGAATCATGCAACGTGAAGACAGGCAATGTCAACCCCGCCATGTGCAGAACCAGTCAGGTCCTGCGTCCACAGCAACAAGCAGAGGAGGAATGACTGCTGGGAAGAGCGCAGAGAGGAGGAGAATTGCCCTGGGGCATCTGCAGCAGCACAACTGGATGCCTTTACCTGCCCCAGCTGCAACAAAACATGTCTCTCCCCTATCGGTCTCTTCAGCCACTGCAGGCACAGTAAATCTCCAATGGTCGTCTTCTTCACCCTCAAAGGCACACTCCTCCATTCTCTGCTGAGACAACACTAACGTGGTGCTCTGGGTCTCCTTCCAGAACCTGCAACCCTGTATCTGTCCAGGCAGAATGTAAAAGAGCAAGCAGGCCTTTTGATAAGGTAATAGCTTTCAGTTCCCAGTTAAATGCACATCAGCATCTCAAAGGATGAGCTGAGCACTGTTGCACTCCAGGAAGGTGGGGTTAGCATTTTCCCCCATGAATGGAAGCCATGTGGTCCTAAAGGTAAAGGTAAAGGGACCCCTGACCACTAGGTCCAGTTGCGGACGACTCTGAGGATGCGGCGCTCATCTCGCTTTACTGGCCGAGGGAGCTGGCGTACAGCTTCCGGGTCATGTGGCCAGCAGGACTAAGCCGCTTCTGGAGAACCAGAGCAGCGCACGGAAACGCCGTTCACCTTCCTGCCGGAGTGGTACCTATTTATCTACTTGCACTTTGACGTGCTTTCGAACTGCTAGGTTGGCAGGAGCAGGG